ACGTAACAGGCAGTCAGTAACAGGCAGCGGAACGTAACAGGCAGTGGAACGTAACAGGCAGTGGAACGTAACAGGCAGTGGAATGTAACAGGCAGTCAGTAACAGGCAGTGGAATGTAACAGGCAGTGGAATGTAACAGGCAGTCAGTAACCGGCAGTGGAAAGTAACAGGCAGTGGAACGTAACAGGCAGAGGAACGTAACAGGCATTGGCACAAAACAGTGGAATGTAACAGGCAGTCAGTAACAGGCAGTGGAAAGTAACAGGCAGTCAGTAACAGGCAGTGGAACGTAACAGGCAGTGGAAAGTAACAGGCAGTGGAAAGTAACAGGCATTGGAACGTAACAAGCAGTGGAAAGTAACAGGCATTGGAACGTAACAGTGGAATGTAACAGGCAGTGGAAAGTATCTGCTTCTAAATATTAAGAGAAAGTAACAGGCAATGGAAAGTAACAGGCAGTGGAACGTAACAGGCAGTGGAACGTAACAGGCAGTGGAAAGTAACAGGCAGTGGAAAGTAACAGGCAGTGGAACGTAACAGGCAGTCAGAAACAGGCAGTGGAAAGTAACAGGCAGTGGAAAACGTAACAGATCGGGGAATCGAACCCTGGCCGCCTTGGTGAAAGGCAAGAGTGCTAACCACTGCAACACCTGACCACCCTAATTGTAATTCTTGGGATAGGAACAGTGATAAGATGCACAATTTCTGTTATCCGCTTCTATATATTAAGAGAAAGTAACAGGCAGTGGACAGTAACAGGGAGTGGAACATAACAGGCAGTCAGTAACAGGCAGTGGAAAGTAACAAGCAGTGGAAAGTAACAGGCATTGGAACGTAACAGTGGAATGTAACAGGCATTGGAACGTAACAGTGGAATGTAACAGGCAGTGGAAAGTATCTGCTTCTAAATATTAAAAGAAAGTAACAGGCATTGGAAAGTAACAGGCAGTGGAATGTAGCAGGCAGTGGAAAGTAACAGAGAGTCAGTAACAGGCATTGGAAAGTAACAGGCATTGGAACGTAACAGGCAGTCAGTAACAGGCAGTGGAAAGTAACAGGCAGTGGAAAGTAACAGGCAGTGGAACATAATAGGCAGTGGCACGTAACAGGCAGTGGAACATAACAGGCAGTCAGTAACAGGCAGTGGAAAGTAACAGGCAGTGGAACGTAACAGGCAGTCAGTTACAGGCAGTGGACTGTAACAGGCAGTGGAACGTAACAGGCAGTCAGTAACAGGCAGTGGAAAGTAACAGGCAGTCAGTTACAGGCAGTGGAGTGTAACAGGCAGTGGAAAGTAACAGGCAGTTGAAAGTAACAGGCAGTCAGTTACAGGCAGTGGAAAGTAACAGGCAGTGGAAAGGAACAGGCAGTGGAACGTAACAGGCAGAGGAACGTAACAGGCATTGGAACGTAACGGTGGAATGTAACAGGCAGTGGAACGTAACAGGCAGTGGAACTTAACATGCAGTGGAACATAACAGGCAGTCAGTAACAGGCAGTGGAAAGTAACAGGCAGTGGAACGTAACAGGCACTGGACAGTAACAGGCAGAGGAACGTAACAGGCAGTCAGTAACAGGCAGTGGAAAGTAACAGGCAGTGGAGCGTAACAGGCAGTCAGTTACAGACAGTGGACCGTAACAGGCAGTGGAACATAACAGGCAGTCAGTAACAGGCAGTGGAAAGTAACAGGCAGTGGAAAGTAACAGGCAGTGGAAAGTAACAGTGGAATGTAACAGGCAGTGGAAAGTATCCGCTTCTAAATATTAAGAGAAAGTAACAGGCAGTGGAAAGTAACAGGCAGTGGAATGTAACAGGCAGCCAATAACAGGCAGTGGAATGCATCAGGCAGTGGAACTTAACAGGCAGTCAGTTACAGGCCGTGGAAAGTAACAGGCAGTGGAAAGTAACAGGCAGTGGAACATAACAGGCAGTCAGTAAGAGTCAGTCGAAATTAACAATTTAAGTAAAGCCCCTGATGATCTTTCTTTCCATGCAGAGAAAATGAGTGTAGTACCTCTGAGTCTGGTGAAGAAGATTTTTGAAATATTGATTAATTTTCCCTTTGGGGCCCCGCCCTGGCCCCAGGGGTTGGGTAAGGAATTTCAATTTTACAACTTGAAACCATCTTCCTCTAAGGATAATTCTCACCAAGTAAAAATAATTTCCTACAGAAAGATGTCAAAATATACCCAAAAGTGTTATTTCCCTATATAAACTATAGTAAAATTTACCCCCTCCCCAAGGGAGAACGGATAGCTCGTGGGTCCTGAAATTTACAATTTAAGTAAAGCCCGTGATGATCTTTCTTTCCATGCAGAGAAAATGAGTGTAGTACCTCTGAGTCTGGCGAAGAAGATTTTTGAAACATTGATTAATTTTCCCTTTGGGGCCCAGCCCTGGCCCCAGGGGTTGGGTAAGGAATTTCAATTTTACAATTTGAAACCATCTTCCTCTAAGGATAATTCTCACCAAGTAAAAATAATTTCCTACAGAAAGTTGTCAAAATATACCCAAAAGTGTTGTTTCCCTATATAAACTATAGTAAAATTTACCCCCTCCCCAAGGGAGAACAGATAGCTCGAGGGAACAGCTCGTCGATTCTAAGAATCAGCATCCTAACATCATTATTAAGCAAATGGTAAGCCATTACAAAACTTTAATCCAAACTTTAACCTGCAAGGAACTTTTGGCCAAGGAAGGACGGATGGACGGACGCAGACAAAACCTATAGTCCCTGCGGTTTCACCGGTAGGGGACTTAATTATAATCAGCAAGGCAAGGAATACTTGTTTCACTTACACACACGAAAAAATATTATTTTTTTTATTTAAAGGGCTAAGACCCAACAAAAATATTAAAAAACATTTTTATTTACCTTTTTCAATAAATTTATCCACTTTCTCTTTTGTAGTTTCATCTGTAGGATTTTTGTTAAAAGTAAAGCCTAGGCGTTCCAAAACTTGTTCTGCCTCACTTCTATCCCTCTTTTCTTCACTTGTCCTATCTCTTTTATCATTGTATATACCTGTCCCATCACTTTCCCCATCACTAAGTCTTTTCTCAAATTTTCCAACACCAATATAAACAGCAAGACGTCGTTGCTTTATTGTATATCGAAAATCATCTCTGAAAAAAAACACAAAAAAAAGTCAAAACAGGAATTTTAATTAAAATCATAGCAATGTGAAATAACTCTTTATGACATTAAACTTTTTATACAGCTTAAATAAAAAAAAAATCTTGCTTAATAATATATGAAAACATGTTACAATAAATTAACGTAATCAACATAATCTTAGAATTCTTTATCAGGTGTTAACTGCGTATACAGGTCCTATGCCCTCTGGCTAATACCTCTAAATTTGTACTTAACTGTGTGTATCCTTGCAGTCTAAGGAACTATATGATGCATCAATTATTTTTTTTAATTCTTCGCATAATTTAAAAGGTTGTAGAAATTTTAAATGAATCATTTCTGATATTAAATTCTTAGTAATGGATGTAACTCAATTTATGAAGCTATGTCCCTACACAATGTAACTGACAAAATGACCACAACACCATCAGTCTTAAAAAAAATGGAATATCAATAAACTGATGTGTTTAAAACCTTAACAGATGATGTTCAAGGCTTTAAAATTGAACATTGACCACTGAGTGGGACCCATCCTTGACTGCTGAACTGTTCATACTTTGACCGCCAATAGTGACTTTATATGGGCTAGTATGATTCCTTAAATTTATCATTCAACCTTAATTTGTACTTTTTGACATTTACCAAACTTGAGATGCTTTTGAAAAACATCTTGCATTACCGATGAGCCCCTTCTTCAACCCTTTCTGTCCCTCTTTTAAAGTCTTAACCTGAATTTCAAATAAGTGTCATTTTCAAGAATTTAAAGTGTTGAAAGCTGAGTAATGCATTGCTTTAATTACAGTGAAACCTCATTGCTTGAATACCCCTGTTTGCCGAATAGATCACATGGCCCCAACGGTGTTCTTATATATCCTTTGTAAATTGACCTTGGATTACTCAAACTGCCATATATAAAGCTCAAACTCTGATATATTCCCGACCACTTTAAACCTTAATTAGTATCTAACCTATCCATTTTTGAACAGGTGAGCACACCTGTATATCACACATACCATGAGCCATCGACTCGCCTCGTGGCACAGATTGCGGGCCACGCCCATTGTGTGATACAGGTGTCGGTCGGACATCAGATTGTTGGAGAATTAACAGCAGTATCATTAGGTACCTGTACCGTTACCTTGTTGAAGCTGGATTATCATGTTATGTGCATACTTATTATCTTCCGATGATATTTGACATTGATGGGCAAGTGTTAACTGTTTGTTTTTGTAAAACCTTATTTAAGCATAGCAATATTAAGCAGAAATCACATAACAGATTGTTGACCATCTTTTAAGATATTCAAAATTGAAAATGTTGTGACAGTTAATTTTGTTATCAATCAACATTTCAATAACTGTGAATAAAAAATGTCTTCGATTCAAAATGATTGAAGAGTTCATCTTGTTTTGATATTTTGAAAAATTTACGCAACCGAATACCGTATGACATAATACGTCTACCGGTAACGACAAGTATGTTACATATACAACTTCTTTATTTTACTCATTTACTAATGTAGTAGGACATGGAATAGTGATAAAGATAGTGCTGTCGAAAGGGCTCGAACCCGCGACCCTTGGCTCTCCAGCCCGATGCTCTACCGCTGAGCTAAAGGATAATCCCTACAGCTGATGCTTGTAATTAGGTAATCTCATCGATGCACATCTTTTACACTATTCCCCCCTTTTTCAAACACCAACCCAGGTTCCTTGACTGCCCGCCAAGGGTTCTCCTACCTTGAACGGGGAGGGTCAACGGCACCAATTTGTAATAGGATGAGGAATAGTGATAAAGATAGTGCCGTTGCTGGGGCTCGAACTCGCGACCCTTGGCTCTCCAGCCCGATGCTCTACCGCTGAGCTAAAGGAAAATTCCCTACAGCTGACGCTTGTAATTAGGTAACCTCATCGATGCACATCTTTTACACTATTCCCCCCTTTTTCAAACACCAACCCAGGTTCCTTGACTGCCCGCCAAGGGTTCTCCTACCTTGAACGGGGAGGGTCAACGGCACCAATTTGTAATAGGATGAGGAATAGTGATAAAGATAGTGCCGTTGCTGGGGCTCGAACACGCGACCCTTGGCTCTCCAGCCCGATGCTCTACCGCTGAGCTAATTGGAAATTCCCTACAGCTGACGCTTGTAAGGCAATCTCATCAATGCACATCTTTTACACTAATACTGATGTTTTCATTGTTGAGCAATTTTATATCTTACTAAATGTTGTCATCTTTATTAAACTTATTCCAATTTCCCTTATCTACTATCCCCGATATTTGCAGTTCTCGTACTGCCTGCCATCCCATCTGATCAAAACATGATGATGACAGACGAACCTCAGATTCGTTAAATATCATATGTATTCATCGAACTATTGATCTGGTCCCCAGGAGTATGAGTTAGCGGAGTTAGTGGAGTTAACTGTATAAGATGACCATAAAATCTGTGCCAGGAATGTTAATACAATTACAAGCTTTCAGTATGTGTCTCACTCAGCTGTGCCTCGTGGTTCCTGATCTGTGTTTTCTGTGCCACTATCTGTCTCGGCTGTGCCTTGTGGTTCCTGATCTGTGTTTTCTGTGCCCCTATCTGTCTCGGCTATGCCTTGTGGTTCCTGATCTGTGTTTTCTGTGCCCCTATCTGTCTTGGCTGTGCCTCGTGGTTCCTGATCTGTGTTTTCTGTGCCCCTATCTGTCTCAGCTGTGCCTCGTGGTTCCTGATCTGTGTTTTCTGTGCCCCTATCTGTCTCGGCTGTGCCTCGTGGTTCCTGATCTGTGTTTTCTGTGCCCCTATCTGTCTCAGCTGTGCCTCGTGGTTCCTGATCTGTGTTTTCTGTGCCCCTATCTGTCTCGGCTGTGCCTCGTGGTTCCTGATCTGTGTTTTCTGTGCCCCTATCTGTCTCAGCTGTGCCTCGTGGTTCCTGATCTGTGTTTTCTGTGCCCCTATCTGTCTCGGCTGTGCCTCGTGATTCCTGATCTGTGTTTTCTGTGCCCCTATCTGTCTCGGCTGTGCCTCGTGATTCCTGATCTGTGTTTTCTGTGCCCCTATCTGTCTCGGCTGTGCCTGGTGGTTCCTGATCTGTGTTTTCTGTGCCCCTATCTGTCTGGGGTGTGTCTGGGTGTCTTTCTCCACTGTCTCGGGGAACACTGTCAGTATCATCTCTACCTTCCTTGTAACTGCTCGTTGCTCCATCTACACAACAGAACAAACCAACCTTTAGCTTGAAATTGATGTTGCCAATGTTCTTGGGTTTCTACAGCATGAAAACTCAGTAATATCACGGTTTTAGATTGGAATAAGCTAAGTCTATGGTAATACATTGTAAATTTACATTTATGTTTAAGTTAATACATAAATTATTAATTTGCATTATACCGTTAATTAACTCATGTATTCAAGCTCTCAACATCTAAATGCAGGAAATACATGTTCCTAACCTCAATACAAACATTTTATGGACAACATCGGCCAAAAGAAAGAAGGACACAAAACATTTTTTCTTATGCCCCCAACATAAAATGGGAGTGGGGCATATAATGCTGCCCATGTCTGTCGCGTTCTGTCCCATTCCATCAAACATCAAACACTGAAACTAATTTCACCTGGTGACGGGGGGGATTCATGTCTTACAGACATTTTCTAGGTTTTGCTATAAATCATATGCAGCAATATAATAAATGAATATTGTTCCTGAGAAACAAAATTTGATTAACAACCTAATTCAAAGATGGTTGCGTCTCTTTTAATGTATCAAATATATATTGTGCTCTCTTGATATTATGTTACGTCCCACCGGCCCTGAAAGCAAATTCTATGTCGGAAAGTTGTCATTTCGCAGTTTTGCATTCTGAATCCCTTTTGAAATCTGTTTTGTTTTTTTATGATGTGTTTGGCATCTCTTTGTCAGTCTTAACTGTCGAGTACAAAAACAACACAAACAGGTCATTCTGAAAACTGTTTTTATAAACAAAATATCTTAATCCTAACTCATCGTTAGATAATTCATTCATAAGCAAAAGCCACGTGGCAGGTAACACAGGACTACCGCTCCCCTTGAGGTAACGGCGGCTGGGGGTTTGATTCCCCTATCAGACATGAAAAGGTGTCAGGTCACCTGCCCAACCATGTTGTACAACAACATGTGGGTTTTCTCTGGGTACTCTGATTTGCCCCCATTACGACCCTCAGGTGTACACTTTTGTCTGGGCCAAGATAAGTAATTAATTGAAGTTACAAAACTTGTTTCAGAATTGTTGAAAAATAAAAAGTTGTAGTAAAATATGTAAATTTTCTATATTTTAAGATCCTCAGAGGTAAATAAAAGTGTGACTATTTGGTTATGGATTTTGGTAATCAGACTGCAGTCTTCCGACCAAGTAAGCAGATAAACAGCTAACTGTTGACAACCTTAAATTATACTTTTTGTTTTTGTTTGGGTTCTACGTTCTATTAACAGCTATATATGGTCATTTAAGGACGTGCCAGGTTTCAGTAGTGGAGAAAAGCTGAAGTTCCTGGGTGAAAATCACCGACCCAATGGCAAATGCCCCACATTGGTCTCCAATATGTGACCAAGTGGTGGAGGGCTAGTGGTAGCAGAATGTCAGACAAAAGTATTTGTCAATATCTACAGGAAATCACAATACTGTAACCTAGCTGTAATATTTTTGCCCAATCAGCTTTTCACTCTTGGCCTTTTAATACGATTCCATGCCAGCATAACCCTGGGTCACACAGAAATAACCCTTGGAAAAACAGAAATAATCCTGGGTCACACAGAAATAACCCTGGGGCACACAAAAATAACCCTGGGGCACACAGAAATAACCATGGGTCACACAGAAATAACCCTGGGTCACACAGATATAACCCTTGGTCACACAGAAAAAAAACATGGGGCACACAGAAATAACCATGGGGCACACAGAAATAACCCTTGGTCCCACAAAAATAACCCTGTGTCACACAGAAATAACCCTGGGTCACACAGAAATAACCCTGGATCACACAGAAATAACCCTGGGTCACACAGAAATACCCCTGGGTTGCACAGAAATAACCCTGGGTGGCACAGAAATAACCCTGGGTTGCACAGAAATAACCCTGGGCCACACAGAAATAACCAAAGGCGTACAAAGTAACAAATCAGGGTCACACAGAAATAACCCTGGGTCACAGAAATAACCCTGGGTCACACATATATAATTCTGGATCACACAGAAATAATCCTGTGTCACATAGAAATAACCCTGGGGCACACAGAAATAACCCTGGGGCACACAGAAATAATCCTGCATCACACAGAAATAACCCTGGGTCACACAGAATTAACCCTGGGTGTACACTGGAGTTTCACACTCTCATTAAACAAAATAAAGATTGCAATATAATTACTAGTCTGAGAGAATTGTGGAATTTTTTGTTTTCTAGATCATATACATGTAACCCGATGTTTATATTGTGTGTGTTATATATTTATATGTAGATACACGTAAGAGTTTGTGTGTATATTTTACCTGATAGTACACATGTTTGTGACGTCATTGATTGTGTTGGTGTGTTAGCGTACTGGTTTTGTGTGTTGCATGTTCGCTACTAATTCGATTGGTCAGAGTTGTTATTTGGTCAACTGACCAATTGCAGCACTTGCTTGACCATTCAACTTGTATTTTATATGGACTTGTATCCAACTCACAACCGGAGACATGTCAGACATACATCAAACACACTGCATACTTCCAACTTACATTGGAAGAAGTCCTTTGTTCACAGTATCCTGGTGAGTGCGTCTCGTTTATTACTTTATTCTAAACCAATTAATTTATAATTTATAAATTAATTCAGCAACGCGATGAATAAATTGAACTTCATTATCGGTAAAGAATATCTGTGATAGTGTGAAAGATATATTTGTTGTTTTATGCGTAAATTTATATATGTATATTTATTATTTATAGGTAAATTGAAAGCTTTCGAACCAACAAAATAAAATATCAATTGTGAAACCAAACCCAAACGAGAAAAGAGTGTTGTGTGAAATACATCTTAGATACAGACAATTGATTGACATTGATAATTGACTTAGTCAAATAAAATATGTTGTATGTTTCTGGTTACCTTACCAATGTGCCTACCCTGAATGTTTTTGGCAATTTTTAACAAAGCACTGTTAAGTCTAGATCATTCTCCTACATAAATCTTATAAAAAATGTACCCTAACTTTTTCAGACAGGAAAAATATACTTTTGATTGGCCTTATCCAGTCCCAAAATCATTCAGATATCAGGGGCTACAATATTATAATAACTATCACGATTCCTAACTAACAAACCTCTACTGTCTTGGTTATCCTGGTCCTCTTCAAACTTATACACATCATCATGGCGTGGTATGTTATCCTTTTCTCGTACCAATTCCCTAACTTGTTTTCTAAACTCTTTTTCCTTTGGATCTGAAAATTCAAAATACATAATTGTGTACAAATGACAAATCTACCCTGTTATATTCTTTGTTCTCTCTCAAGATATGCACCATATTCATCTCCAGTTCTCCAACTACAGCATCCTGCCAGAAGTATTTGTGATTTCCCAGCTTTATTCTACATCTCACGTTCCTTTTTATATTGGCTGTTTATCAGACTGTTTACCATTGAGTATAGTGCCACTGAAACAAAATGTCACAAACTGAAACATACATTTGTAAACAAGAGGTTAAATTGGCCTGTATCACCCACCTGATATACATCTCACATTTGTGAACTTCAAACAGCGTACATTTAAAATTGCTGAAGTATTTTTACTCTATACAATACCTGCCGTAGTTAGAAGATTTTCTGACCTGGTACTCTACACCTTATGAATCTATGTTGGAAGATTTTAATTTCTTTTATTAATCTGACCTCTATAAGTTGGTCTAGATTTTGTAGGTCATTCATTCCAGTTAATAATTTGTGAACCATATGGAAACAACCTACGAACTACATTTAGGTAGTCTTATATCCCTAATCTTTAGATTAGAATCTTATAAAAAAAAAAGGAGAAGGATTTTAAAGATTTGCCTCAAGTTCCCCTATTGGTCCCTGCCCCTCTGTTCCCAAGGGGGCTACTGTTATACTGTTACTGCATGACCCTCTGTTAGTACACAAATGAAAACAAGTTGACTGACAGAGGACGAACACCGAGTCACTTCAGGCAGGTGAGCTAAGAACCGTTAGTCAGTCGGACTAGTAGCTAGATTTCAATTTAATTGTCCTTGTGTAAATTCCACTAACCCGACAGTTTTCAATGTGAAAAGTAATATCAAATTTCCACAAGTCAGTGGGGCATATTTGGTACTCTGACGAATAGATGACAGGGAAAAAACACTAACTTGGTGATGTGTCCTTGTATACATGTACGTTACAACCCAAACACTGGATCAATCTAAATACTCAAACTTGCATCCATTGAACAACATTATTTGTCTTGTTTGCAAAATCATAATTGGTCAAGTCAACGAGTTTTTTGCCTAGTTTTACAGCCAAATAAAGGCCTCTTTAAATTCCCCACGGCAAAAACGTGCTTCGATCATTTTTCCAAATTGACGAAAAGATTAGGAACGTCTTCTCAATTTCAACCGGCTGTTGTAATTTAGGTAAGAAAAACACAGGTAATTCACATCTTATTTCGGCCATGAAATACTGACCCATTCCCTGGTATATACAATGTAGCATGGCTCTTTTTGCTCTCAGAATATTTTCTGGTTCTTCGTCATAGATCTGAAATATTCCCACTTTAGTGTCGTTCATTTGCAATGCATCTTCATAGGCTTTCCTCTTCTTTTCTGTAATCAAAACATTTTATTTTTAATTAACGGTTTATTCATTAAGTGTATATATCATATAAGTATGCATACTGGCACAAGTGGCATGAATATATTTTTTACACAAACCATGAGCGAGTGAGGAAAATAATAAAGTAAAAACAAATCATGCATGTGAAACATATATATGTTCATTTGTTAATTTACAGTGTACATTACGAAAAGATTTGTTTAAAGTAGATTTATCTTTAAATTTCTATGATGTTGCTTACGGTGATGGTGATTGTGAAATTCTTTTGAAAGTGCATATCATAGTTAAGTATGCAAGATATATGGCAATGGGCCTACTGTTTGATCAATTATTATCACAATTCTTGTTGTTTAAACTGCAGAATATTGAGGTTACAACTGTCAAATGTTATATTCATGAATCTAATATTTTGTAACTGGAGATGGCAGTCGGGGGCCACGTTTTTCAAGCAACAGCGACTAAATAAATACTTACGCTAAAAATAAGACGTTCCTGGTATACTTAATTTCATTGTTTGAGTTGTTGACATTGTGCAAGTATTTCACTACAACAAACTAAATTATACGAATTTGCTTCATGCAAATCTATTCTCATTAACCAATTTAACTTGTAAATTGATTTTGAGTGTGTCATAATGAAATACTTCATTGTCATTTGTGTTTCTTCCTGTATTTTGATCAACAATAGGACGGAAAGAGTGACATAACGTATACATATGTATGGAAAACGACTAGACGAAAATGGTAATAACATCATGCTCACATCTGTTAATTATAGCCAGTGTCACATTTCCTAAACAATGTATAGTACCGACTTTTGACCAATGTTGTAATGATCGACGTCAGTACCTGACATAATTTGGACCACCGATGTAATGATGTCAGCCCAACGTTACATTTCTGCACCAGATGTGGTACCCGACATTAGACCACAGATTTACTGACATTCGCCGAATGAATCTACATTTCATATGTTGACAGAGGGCCAACATCAGAATTCAGTGTTGGGCCAGCAAAAAAAATTGTCAAATGTTAGCTGTCGTTTAACCAACACTTAGATCTGAGGTGGAGCCATTTTCACTGCGGTGGACAAACATATGTTGAGCCAACGTTCGTTTCCCTTGTCAGGTCAACGTTTGGTGTCACATTGGCCCTAGTGTATGTTTGACCATTGTCTGACTCACTCAGCTAGCTGTGTTATAATCATGATAGGATATTCTCATGAGAAGACGCCAGGGATAGTGCTGTCCTAACCTGTGTTTTATCTGGCCCTGGCACCAGACTTCGACATTTTGACATATAGATCCCACACCTGCAGACCAACACTTGATACGAGAAGATATTGGAGTTCTCTGTAAACAATTTCATGTTATATATGATTGTATAACCTAAAAAAAATAGACAACAACAAAAGTGATGATGGTATATCGCAATGTGTAACTAGTGTGAGGGTCAATAATTTTGTCATAAATGTGGCTTTATGTACTGTGATATAGCAACCAATATAGTTTACAATGTGATTATACAGGAAAGAGATAATTTATGGTGTGATATTATAAATATAAAATACATAATGTTTAGTGTGTACTTACATTTCATGTCTGATTATGATCTGTTTCATATCCTCATTGGAGGAAATGTAAAGCATGAGCTGAATTCATTGCATAAAATCTTTAACTTGTATATTCAGAATTTGTATACTACAAATGATGTATTAACCTAAACTTTATTATGTGTCAATTGTAACATTTTTCCTTTTTCTGTATGATGGTCATCTCTCTTAAGTAACTTAAGTGCCGAATTATTTTGTTTTTATCAGTAATGAATAAATATTCTATAACCATGAATTAAAAACTATTTTTAGTTAAAATATAAGGAATAACTAGAATTGTTGTTGTAGTTACATTGTATAATACCGTATAACCCCCAAAATAATCCTAGCTATTCCTTCAATATTTTTATTTTGTCAAAGATCAAAGAAATATGCAGCATTTGATATCTTGAAATTGTCACACTTAAATATGAATCTTTGATAAAAAAAATGCATGAAAAACTAATAAATCCGGATTTTCCGCTTTCCGTCTCCTTTTTTACTTCTGTCTATATTGTCAATATCATTTCCCAAATTTAGAAAAAAATATTTAAAATACTTCCAGGACAGGTAAACCTTCGATATTTTACATATATCTCCAATGAATGACAAAGAAAGTATATTTTGGTCCATTCTCTTGAAATTGAGCGTATTTAAGGTCCATATCCCTCCGTTTCGGTGATACAGCGGCAACGAAAATCGTACCGTGAATCTCGGCTATTGCGCGTCTTTAAATGATAAATAAAAAATATTTCCAGTCTAATTTTACTACCTATCTATTACATATAGCTCTATTGGGTTATAAAGAATGCATATATGGGTCCATTCTCTCGAAATAATGCCAATTTAAGGCCCATTGCCCTCCATTTCGGTAACGAAAATCGTGCCGTGAATTGCGTTATTTTGAAAAATTAATTTAAAATAGATGTAAACAAAATAAACGCCCAATCTTCTACACATGACTCCAGTTGGTGATGAAGAATGTAAATTAGGGTCCATTCTCTTGAAATAATGCAAATTTAAAGTCCATTGCCCGCCATTTCGGTAAATCAACTCCATTCCGGTCCATTTCGGTAAATATACCAACCGCAGACCGGTCACCCTAATGAGTGTCCTCCGGGTAATGAGTGTCCTCCGAGTGTCCTCCGAGGTTTTTGCGCGCCCGCGAGTTCGTTATAAGATTTATTTCACTTTTTTCTTCTGATTCCTAAATATTGTTCATATATCTAGGTGTGTGCAAAATTTAAGGTCGATCGTAACAGAACAAAGTACCGAAATACGTCGATAAAAATGCATATTTGGAAAGAATGAATGTCCTCGGAGGTTTTTGCGCGCCCGCGAATTCGTTAGAAGATTTTTTGCACTTTTTTCTTCTGATTCCTAAATATTGTCCATATATCTAGGTGTGTGCAAAGTTTAAGTTCGATCGTAACAGTATAAAGTACCGAAATACGTCGGTAAATACTATTTTCACGAGGTTGGATTGAGTGTCCACGGAGGAATGAGTGTCCAGGTAAGTGTTCGCGAGCCCGAGAATTCGTTAATCCATTTATTTTACTTCTGTCTTCGGATTCATAAATATTTTTAACTTACCTAAGTGTGTGCAAAATATCAGGTTGACCATAACAGTATAAAGTACCGAAATACGTCGATAAATACTATTTTCACGAGGGTGGATTGAGTGTCCACGGA